GACAAGGATAAAATGTGGCTCGGCAAACAAGCAATTTGACATTAATAAAGATGACTATACTCATAGACAACGTGCGGTACTATGGATACTCTCTGTTTTTTCATCAGCATTGAGGAGAACGCCCATATACTTTTGTCCAAGTGGTCCAAAGTGCTTTCGCACCATTTCTGGACTTCCCGACGATTTAAATCTGTTTCAAAGGGATATTTCGAGCGCTTTGCGCGTGGTTTCGAAAAACATTTTCGTCTATGAGTATTTTGGGTAGTATTATATTTGTATCGCTCTCGATGTCGCTAACGGTGTAGAGATTATCGGCTGTTTCATACTGTAAAGCTAAGTCTAATCTGCCAGATGCATGCGGGCGTCGAAATATTTCGCAGAATATCCCGACGTACATTTAATCGTTTTCCTTTTTTTCGGTGTTCTCTCCTTCTTCATTCTCTCTTCTTCCACCTCCTCCTCCTCCTTCCTTTTTCTTCTTCATACCGCTTGATTGGTAAAATTTTGTTTTCTCTTTTTCGGTGTCTCCTCATATCGCTTGACGGTCTCGATATTCACACCGTCGTCAGTGTTAGGCTCGTCTTCTACTAAAATTGTCGCGTTGTTAGTAATCTTTTGTAGCGGCTTGATAATAGGTTTAAAGTGAGTCTTAACTACGATATCGTCATCGATCTTACCGGTTTTCAAAGCACGATGTTTTTTGCGGATTGATTCGCTCGTTTTCGCAATCTCCTTTGCTATATTTTTTACGTTCGCGAATATTATTAGCCATGTTAGCAGAGTGAGCACTCCTCTAGAATGAGCGTTTTAATCCTTCTCAACAGAATACCGGCAACGACTGTTTTGCGGTATCGCAAACACGTTAAATCCGTTTCTATATCGCCCGTTCGTAAGCGAGCTATCCTTGTCTATCACTAGAAATCCATACTTTTGTTGTCAACAAGTATGACATAATTTACTGAAATCCTCGTATGACATGTCGGTATTTACGGTGATTGTTGTATACGTGTTTCAAGTTGGTACCATTCTGTTTAAACAAGATTAGCAGGTTCGCGTTGTCGCGTATAAGATGTTTTGGTATTCTTGCATATGTCTAACAGAGATAGAAGCAGTGGACGTTCGAGTGGCGTCCCATTGAAAAGTATTCTCTTATAGTATTTTGCTTATTGCACATTACATAATCGAAAACAAAAATCGAGTTTGGACATGCTTTGTTCGGTAGAATGACGTTGTTATTATTGGAGAATGTAAAGTAGCCGATTTCGTCAATCGACGTCAACAAATTCTCCAAATACCGATATTTTAGCTGTTGCAGTGATTTTGAGTACACGTATACGTTTTCAAAGCGGACGCCGTGCAGGCTTTCTATTAAACTAATCAACACGTTAGTTTTACCGCAATTCGAGGGGCCGCAAACGATCGCGCGTATATTTGGTAGCATCGTACCGTGTCTACGCATCTCCACGTTGTCCCCCATTGAGCGTAATCTGACGTCGTAATTCGTCACGCGTGTCGCGAAAGGTTGCTGCACGAATTTCATTCTTCTACTTCTGATTTGGATCGAACTCCTGCCTATTTATAGCTGCGCGGAATCACAAAGTGCTCAGTAACAAAAAAATGTTTGTTCTGCTATCAAGTGCTTATGATATTCTCGAGCTTACTGCTGAGCAGTTAAAGTTTATTCCTAAGATTGTTTTACTGCAAAATTTTGGTTATTACGTAGAACGTTTGTGGGACAAGCTTCCGGAACACATCAAGGCGGACTCAGAGGTTCAGATCTATCGTCGCTATCTTGTACATTACAATCAACCGTGGCAGGAAACGCACACTGACGGTCCAACGTCTATGATAAAGGATTGCTGCGAATGTTAACGAAAATAAGTGGAAGTCTATTAAATCACGCGATAAACGCATGTTGTGTGCCTCGTGAAAAGCACAAGGGGTCGCGCCAAATTGGGATGAGGATCCGGGGCGTCAGGGTTTTATCGGGTTGATTTAATAAATGCACTTTATCTTTTTACTTATTAAAGAACTTTTATTCACATTACCACTTGACTTTTCTTTATTTTAACAATGATACACTTGTGCGTATATCTATTTAGCGGCACTATTTAGCTATAACTTCGCGTATCGCGCGCGACTGCGAGAAGATGTTAAGATCGCACGCGGCTAACGAGATCGTTTTAATTAACGACGCAAGAGCGTCTTGAGAGCGACTGATTGCGATTGCGACTGCGACTCTTGCTCCCTTTTTATAATATCGCTTTTTGGAATTTCCTTGATCGGAAGGGGTGCCTGGCAACGGGCCTCCTCGGTCAAGGACCTAGGTGCAAGAGAAGCAGATTCAAAGTCCTTCTGCTTTGCTTGCACGTTGAGCAATTTCGGTTCCATGTATATCTTGCAGCGTATGCGTTTTTACGCGGTCAGTGTCGTCAAGCGGGTGTAATACGAGTAATTATACATTAATAGTTATATCTCTTAGGGATATAACACGCACTTCCGATCGAATTCCATATTCCAGGTTATCAGTTTTGCGGCCCGGGCACGCGACTACAGAAACGATTAGCCAGAGGCGCTCTCTTAAAGTGAATCAGTGTATAATAACTGAACAACAGTGACTATTCACTGATGATTATAGTTAAAATCCTAGCACTGCAAATCAGTACAAAACTGCTGATGGAATCAGTTCGTTGCACCCACTGTTTGCATCAGTGATCTG